ATTTAGAGAACGTTCCAGCTCTAAAGCTCTGAAAAGGAAGGCTGACGTGCTGTTACTGATTGTGCATTATTTACTGTCATTTGATCATGCTGTTTTTCCCAATGTTCCCATTTGCTGTTCTATTAATCAAATGAGTCCAATAGAGCTATTGTAAGAGCAAAAGAGCTATTGTTCTTTTGAGGAAGGAAACAGCGAATGAAATCTGTGCATCCCACCATCTATTGCACAATGCTCAGCAGCTGTGCAACCCAGCCGAGCGACTGCTCAGCTTTAGGGGGACGGCGCCCCCCTCTGACGGCGAGAGGAACTGTGAGTGTGTGGGATTTCTTTTAAGTCGTGCGGAGGCAGATGCGCTGTGCGAGTGCGGTGGCGTGTGCGTGTGTGGGAGTGTGCCCCCGTGGCCAAGTCTGTAAAAAGTTCATGAGAGTGAGTTTGCAAAGGATGCTGAAGGAAGTAGAACAAGACGCAGCTGACATGCTGCGGAAGCCTGCGTGTATACATACCTACACACACACACACACACACACACAAGCACCCGCAGAACAAAGCCCTTTATCTCCATTTTGGTTTTGTTCTTTTTTTCAGAAATTGAAAGTACCAGCTGCCTTTTACAATCTGCTAAGTTTTCATGAAGAATGGAGCAACAGAAATGATCCGAAATTGCTTGTTCTACTTCCACTGAGAACATTTTCCCTCTCCTGCAAAGGTGCTACTTTGGAGACTGGAGGTATATATGAACAAAACATCTCCAAAGTGGTAACTTTACAGGAGAATGGAAAAACATACTTGACTTTTAATGTAAGTTAATGGAAATATTTTCAAGTTTTTCCATTTTTGGCCGTTTCTTTTGGTCCATTCATCATGGAATTTACACACAATGTAAAGGGCCACAGGCATTTTCAAATTATGTCAAAAACTGAAAACGCCAAAAATTGAGGTACAAGATTTTGTCCCAACAGCAGCTATATATATATATATATAGAGAGAGAGAGAGAGAGAGACATATAGAGGACTTTGCAAACGTACTAGTAGTGTAGTAGTGTATATAATTTGATTTAAAAAGCTATTTTTCTGAGCAGTAAACATGTATTTGCTCCGATAAACACAGTAAATACAAATAATATTAACATAGTAACTAGTGCTCTTATATATGTTAAGATCTTTGTTTGACCCTTTCCAACCCCCTCATGATAGCAGCACAGTATTATTTATAGTTATCACCTAATACCTGTTCTGGCTAATTAGTGCTTCATCATATGAAATAAATGTGCTGGCCATGGAATTTAAGAAATCTATTCAATGGTTGGAGCCTTTGAGAAGAAATCTGGAACCTCAAAATGAATCTCTAGCTCACAAAAATATCAACTACTTTTTTGAAAACAGTAGATTTTTGTGATGTTTCACTGTATTCATGACTAATTGCATTTAATGTTATGATATGTAGTGTTTTATTTACAGAAATACATCATGTATTTTACAGTATTTCTAAAATGGTTTTATTTAATGTGCTTAAATGCCTAAGATGTTTGCACAGTACTATATATATATATATACATATATATATATATATATATATATATATATATATATATATATAAAAAGTAGCCATATTTAAGTTTGTTATGGTTGTTGATATATATACAGTATATATATATACAGTATATATATATATATATATATATATATACATATATACATGATATATATACAGTATAATAAACAGTAATTGTGCTTTAAAATGTGTGCATGTGTGCAGAAGCGTGTTCTCTGCAGAGGATGTGTTAACCTATTTTCCCTTAGAAAGTCGAGAACGTAAGTTATTTGACGAGGGATGCCTCAACATTTGCCTATGACAGTATATACACACTAATATACTTATTAAACTATATAAATTAGTACATTTGTTGTTGGTTGTTTGGAAAGTGATATTTGCTGCTGTTATCTTACACTGTTTTTTGGGAAACTTAAATGATAAATACACTGTAATTATTTGTTTTTAGTAATTTCATGAACTTGATCAACTCTTCTCAAACACAAGGCATTCTGGATATTAACATTAGTACAACATTTTCAGTGTTCTACAGCTCATAGTCATTACGAAACCATCTTCTGCTCTGTTCATCGTTCTGGACACATCTAACAGTTCTTACTTTTTCCACAGCTCCTTTCGAAATAGCTGGAATGAGTGTAGAAGCATCATAATACAATCATGCCATAAATGTATCTGCAGCATTTTGGTGTTATTTAACTGAAAATGTTTGGTTTGTGATGCTACACTTTTGAACACTAGTGTATATAATGTATATATACATATACAACCATTTAAAAGTTTCATCATTTGTTATGTTTTGTTATTTCACATTTAACAATAACTTAAACAATGTAGATTTAACTCATATGAAACAGACACCAAAAGGAATTTCATGAATTAGATGGAGTTTTTTTTTCAATATTTCATGTATTTTGAGGTATTACATATTATACGACAGTTAGGTCCGGCCACGCAAGCTGATTGATTGAGGAGTGTTCTAACTGTGCTGTTATTTCGCCATAACAGGGTTTTTCACAAACACTATATCACTCCGCTGAGACGCTGTTGCTGTTGACAGCTGTAGGAGACGCTCAAGCCATTTGAACGTTTTTACTTCTTACTTTGCCACAAACAGAAAATGGATACCTTTAAGATCACATTTGACCGACAGCCGATTTGGTCAGACTCTGATGAGACTACACTAAATTCCCAAACTGTCAGTTGGTGTGGAGCTGGAGAACGAACCGCTGAGTGGGCGGAGCTCGTTACTGTGATGTAGCAACAAGCTGCTTGTTAAGGAACTATAATTTGGCGAAAGGAATTGCGAACATTAAAACATATTAAACGCCGTGTTCGTGGCCCAGTTTATTAATTTCTTACTTTATTTATTTAACTGTTGTATAAAAGCAATAGAACACTCGAGGTCGTGTGTTATGGCCTTCAGCTCGTGCCTGCGACCAAATTACAGCCGAGATGTTATTTCACAATAACACACTCCCTCTTGTGTTCTATTGCTTAAGTGTATTGTAAATGATATACGGTGACTGTGTATTTACAGTAGTTTTTTATTAAGTATTTTGTTTTTTGTTAAGATTTAATCAGCACTTTACCAATTTGAGGCATATGTTGTACAGCTTTCTCAATCATTTTAGAACCATCTACAGCTCCATTCATCATCCAGGACACTTCTGAAATATCTTTTGAATGTGGAGAATTGACACTCTACAGTACTGTGCAGACCTCCAAGGAAATGCTTTAAAACTATTTTGGCAGTAAATGCATACAACATTAGTACAAACACATAAACATAAGATTTTATTGTTTTTTTTTAAAGTAATTCATATGTTATTTAGATTAATAGTTAGAGGAACACGAGTTTGTTCAAATCAGCAGTACCTGATTTAATGTAATTGAAAGGACTGATTAGATAAATCATGTGCTGGGTGGTAACTGTAAATACTTGGCCTCTTTGAGGAGAGCTTTGGAAATGGTTAAGCTAACACACACTCATTAAACAATGTTTATTTGTTTATTTGTTTTGATTCTAATGCCTGTTTATCTTAGCCTCAGCAACTAAATATAATCATTTGCAATATTCATTGTGTCCACCATTTGCCTTCATTAGAGAAATCTGCAGGGACGTTTTTCCACACCTCCAAAGTTCAGTCTTAGAAGTTGGTTGAACTTTCTGCTTCTCACAATACAGCTAGTCTGGACTCTAGGGTGGCCAGCTCATTGTTCTGAGAACACCCGCAGCTTCGCAGGTTGTTTGCTTTGCAGATTTGCTTCTTTTTGGCCTGTTTCCTTTTCTCAGTGAGGCGTCTTGACAGCTACACATCCTTTCAGACTCATAGTGTTGAGCTGTCTTCTCACAGTGGAAGGATGGCTGTGGATTTTGAAGCAAAAGAGCTGCTTGATTTTCTCCTCTCTCTCAAAGATGAAAGCTGTTTATCTGACAAGGGCAGTTTCAGTGGTCTGACAGGCCTTCCAAGTGGTTGTTAGGAATCCTGTTTTCTCTATATCTTTTAATCATTTTTGAACTGTTTTGGAAACTGCTGTTTTATATACATATGTAATATGTACATACATCAAACATAGATAGAATAAAATCTTCTCTTAATCCAAAGTCTGACCATCAATCAGTGTCCAGAAGCCAAAAGGTACTGCTGATAAAACTGCACATCTCCACTCATCTTAACACGAACAGCAGGGTCAAACCCGGAGGCCGTGCAGACACAATCAGAGGCGCAGCCAGACGAGCTAAATATAAAGCGTATTTACGTTCGCGACGCGGCTCTCTTGATAGTTGCTTCTTCATATTGAGAACGTTTTCTAGGTCACAGAAGTGGCGCATGTTAATTTGCTCTTTTGCTCAGAGGGGGAAAAAAATCATCCTTACCACTAAATAGGTCATGGTAAAGAGGAGGCTGCTGCTAATCTGCCCATTACATAATGGGTAACTTTGCTATACTGATGCACCGTAGTGTGCAGCCCTTGGTAGGTCATATCTTACATATTCTTAAGGAAATGAGCTGAATGTCTTTGCAATTTTGGTAGAAACCATTTCTTTTACCATTATTCCAAGCTAATATTCAAAACATCAGAGCACTGTATTCAAATTCCCATATTAAATACGATAAATACAATATGAGCCACAAATTTGTCCGCAGCTCTACAGAAGTGATATGACTGAGAGATAAATCCAGAATTGTTGTCAGTAAGTTGTAGTCGCTGTGTCTTTTCCTTGACAGTTACTGTAATTGCTCAAGATGAGGCAAGATTCAATTGGTTCATTTCACTCCTGCGGCCTGCGTGCGGTTGCCAATTGCATTGTAAGCATGTCTTTGAAAAATCAAGCTAGGTTGGCTTTCCTGTCCTCTTTATCTGGTGTTATCTGATGTTCCTGTCCCCATTTTGGTCACCGCAACTTCTTCTTCTTGCATTCCCCACGCTGTAAATTTTGTGGGTGTGTGGGAGTGGTTATGCCTGTTATCCCCCTATTTGGTCATATATAAGACAAGGCACTAGCACGGGTGTAACTTGTACGCCTGCCATCATGTCTGCGAAAGGTTTGGTCGCCATCGCCCTCATCAGCTGCTGGGTTCTGTGCACTCTGGGTCCGACTACGGCCACATGTGAGTTCATGAATGGGAATTTCAATTCAGTTCAATTCAATTATTGCGCTTTTTTCACAAAGCAGCTTTCCTAACAGAAGCTGAGACTGGAAAAAGCTCCTGATATTATGAAATTTCCACCAATTTTTCACTACAATTCAATCGTCAAGATCTAAACAAAGTCATTCTGAGTGGTTTGATGTGAAATAGTTTGGTAATACTAGAGAAAATTCAGTCAGAACTGTTCACAGTGGTGGTGATAGGAACCAGACGTCTGAAACGTTTAATGCCTCTTAAAGCTGCCTCACAGAAAGATAAAAATTTGCTAATCTGTTGCCTGAGACATTGTTTTGCTAAAGGTTTTGGCCTAAAACCTGCTGTTTAAACCCCATTTATGGCAAATAGGTACATGCATTATATACTGCTATAAGGCAAAAAAGCCCCCAAAGAACTTACTTTCTCAGATTCACCACTATTTTATGTAAAAAATCAGAAGATACATGCAGGTTTTCTCATTGTGGATAGTAAAATAAAATGGCTGTATTTGTGTTGCAGACATCGTGACCACTGCTTACTATCACCACCACTTTAAAGAAGCCAGTCAGGTTCTTCACAAGGAACCACTTGACATCAAACCACTCTGAACGACTTTAAGTTCGCATCTAAACAAATCAGATATTTTTGGAAAACCAAGGAAGTTCCTATTTAAGCAGGAATTCTTTGTTTTTGCTGTTGATTTTTGCACATGTTTTGTTATATTGTGTACATCGGTGCTGTCGGAAGAAAATCTTGCATCTCCAAAATGGCCACTTTACAGGTGAAAGAAAAAAACAACTTTACTTTTAATGTAAGTCAATGGAACCAGAATTTTGTCATTTAAGTCATTTTGTACCATTTCTTTTAGTCCATTCTTCATGAAATTTACCCACAATGTAAAGGGCAACAGACATTTTCAAATTATATCAAAAACCGAAAAACGACAAAAATGGGATGGTTTTCTTCCGACAGCAGCGATATGTAGTTCTGAAAAAGGAGAAGGTTCACATAAACCAGGGTGTCGTGGAGTTACACACTCATGTATGTGTCAGTCATAACTCTACTCTATCAAAGCCTTATCTTATTGTTCTGATCAACGAGACAGGCTCATCTTTGTAGGACTGAAATTTGTCAATACGTTGTAGCGGTCAATGTAGCCCAATTCAAACCATCAAAACTGATTTCACTACAAATTAGTCATACATGTGAAATACTTTAATGAGGGTACTGAGAGTCCTCAGCATTGTTTCTCATTCGTACCAACACCCCTGCTATTTGACTCCGGCTATATTTAGCAATGCATTTCTCAGTACGCATTAATTTGCACTCAAAAAAGGAACCAATAGGACTGTTTGGCTTGTGAACTGAAAATATGTTGGTATTAAATACAGGAATTGTGTGGCTTTTAAGAAACTGGTTTATGTAAACCTTTTGCATATGACTGTAAATGGCTCTAATATGTCTGATTAAGCTCATGTGTACAAGATGTATGTGAGATGTGTATATTCACCATCCACTGTATTACAAACACCCATTGATCACAGGTCAGTTTCTGACCACAGGACTGGAGGGGATCAGCTATTTTTAGGGTGAGGGAACATTCTCAACACAGCACTGATGCTAGGCAGATTTACCGGCTTTTAGTTATACAGACATCTATTTTTCCAAATAGATAAAGAGTCAAATCAATTTAATTTACTTAATAAAATGATCATTTGTAAAAGAAGGGCAGTTCTCTGGCTCATGATTGGGCAATTGTTTCGAGCCTGAACAGCTACCGGAAAATCTTCAGCCCAAATATTTGACTCACTTACTCACTTGATAATAGTCATGAATTACAGAACTCATGTTTTGATGATTTTTTTTTTGGTTTGGTTTTTACTGATTTTTATAGGTTTGGTGCATATTCTCTAGATTGGGGCACCCAAATGTTTTGTCTTGGGTGGCCAGTGTCAATATTTGGGGGGGGCTCGAGAGCCAAAAAGAGGAATTTGAGTTTTAGAACTTTATTTTGTTACTAAAATATTTTAAAAATACTTAGTTACAGACCTTTTTTATGTAATTATATCCAATTTGGATGCTTTTAATACAAATACTGTATTTGAACTTGTAAATGAGTTGTAAATACGCAACAACCAAAAGAACCAATGGGGAAATAGTGGAACTAACAAAATATACATTTTTGAAAGATGTGTGGGATGTGACCACCCCCTTGCCCCCACCACCCTCTCACAAACAATGTGTAGAGAGCTTTTGTAGAGAGCTGATACCTTATTGGAATGATTAATATGTGACATTTCACTCATTAACTTGAATTTAATTCATCGACTGGGTGGAAACCTGGCTAGTTTCTGACCGCAGAACCACTGTTGTCCAGATATTATTTGGGTGGTGGATCATTCTCGGCATGGTTGCGTCACGGACGTTGTGGTGTGTGGGGTGCGAGTGTATCAGAGTATAAAGGGGGATTTTCACACACATCAGTGTCACTACTACCTGAAAATATCCAGCCAAGAGCGGCTCTGTGGTCAGAAACTGGTCACTGATAAAAGGCTAGAGGATAAGTAACACAAATGCATTAACAGATGGGCTACAGTCTCTAACTGTACACCAGCAAGGTGGAGCTGCAACGTGGGGGTTTCCAATAAAGTGACCTAATGAGAACACTGTGTGTGTATGTGTGGGTGTGGGTGTGTGTGGGTGTGTGATATCAGACGGTCCGATGAATCACGCCTGCTGTGTGAAATACACCCGGAAACCTGTGGCCTTCAGTCTGATCAAAGGTTACTTTGAGCAGAGTTCCCGCGAGGTGTGCCGCATCGATGCCATCATGTGAGTCACCCAACCGCACTACACCCCCGACCCATTACCCACAGTACAGAGTGGTTACACCACTCAAATCCTTCTTCTATAAACTTACACTTGAGAACATACTACAACAAACCCGCAGCCCTCAGAGTAAAATACTGTACATACATCCCAAGCAGCTGCCTCCTATGGATGTATTCAAACATGACATGAGGCAAGAGCTTAGTTTCTGTTCTACTCTCTGAATCATGCACTTTTTCCAGATTTATCACAAAGCGCAACAAGAAGATATGCGCGAGCACCACCGACGAATGGGTGAGAAAGGCGCTGGCGCGTCTGAGGTAAGGAAAAGAAGTACTTTTCTTAAGGCCTTTACGATCTACACTACCTCAAAGCCTGCCGAAAGGGCTCAGTAACACTTCACTGTAGAGCAGCGTTCTTAAGACTACATGACACCTACATAAGCATGACAAACAACATTATATGACATGACTTTATATATACATATGACATTGACCTGTTCCAATAGGTGTCGTCTGTCATAAAGGCTGCTTTTGCCAGCTGTAATGACCTATGTCAGGTGAAATCGATTTTTTTTTTTATTAATTTTTGGGTGAAATAGCATAGCATGTTATAACAACTCACTTTGTAGCTTAGTGTATATCACAGTGACTGCTTATGCTGTGACAAAATTTACCTAATGGGCAAAGAAAAAACATTTTTGAACCAGCCTGACAAACTAATAATTTACTATGTTTACAATATATATATTATCAGCATTATATCACAGTGACAAGTCATTCCACCCAAAACGTGTTATGACAAGCCTGGGTGATAATAATTAGCACAATATTTACACACACACACACACACACACACACACACACACTACATCGTGTGTAAATTTCACTATGATTGGACCAAAACAAAACAGCCCAAATTGACTTGGAAAAAATTATGGTTCCATTGACTTACATTAAAAGTAAAGCATGTTTTTTCCTTCTCCTGTAAAGTTAACATTTTATATATATATATATATATATATATTTTTATATATATATATATATATATATATATATTTATATGTATATATGTATATATATAAAGGCATATATATATATATATGCCTTTTTAAGGCACAATGTTTTAACAGTAAAACTGAATAATACATTATGTGTACATATTATATTATTATATATTATTTCACAAGCTGTTTAACAGTGAATTAGTCTCTGGTTCTCTGTCAGCTCTCTATCCTAACACAGTGATCATCACCTTTTAAGCATTGCCATGGGGTTACTTGTCAGTCATCGACAAAATCCAATTACATCGCCCTATCGCACAGGCCTAGACACAACCTAATGTCAGAGAGAAATCTGTGTCACATGACATAGATGACATCAAACTTGGCAAATGCAAACTTTATGGAAAATGACAGCTACTAGACAGTGTTTTTAAATGTTGAGTCTATGTGAGTCATGAAGGGTGTTATGTAGCCTTATGAACAAGTGTTACCAAGTGTTCTCTGTAATGTCAAATACAAATGTTCCATAAGTACTTACAGCATAAGACCTCACTGACAAGGCCACACCTCAGAAGTACTGTGCAAAAGTCTTAGGCAGTGTGCTCAAAATCCATCTTCCAGGGCAGTAAGCATGATATTACTATATGTATTACTATATAACATTAGAATGCAGACATTAATGCAGTGAAATCAAACAGAATTTCTTGCTTTTCTTGTGAGATTAGAAGGTTTAGAAGAGGTTAGAAGACTAAAGTTTGTTTCCTTAGCCATCACATGTATCTATGTATGTGTGCATTTATTAAAATCACTACTTACCGCATTTGTGTTATTTGTATTTATTTTAATATTAGTGTTTTGTTCTTATAAATAAAAACACTTACTTCCCTGATAAATCGCTTTTTATCATTTTCACAGGTTGCACAGTGCTGTAACTTACATATTAGGTATAATAAGGATTTAGAGTACTAAAGTTGGAGCTAATTGGCTAAATAGTTCATAAACACTGCACTGTTCTCAGACTTTTTATATACTCCTAAAGAGCACAGGAACACAAACAGGAAATGCTTCTCGGTCACAGCTCTCTAACTTGTTCTTGCGTTTTCTTTGCAGCGATAAAATGAAAAAGATGTCAAAGCTGCAGTCTAACCACGCTGGCGTCAGCACCCTCTCAGCTCGGGGCACCACCACAAGCTCCTAAAGTCTCCCCATGCTACTCTATCTTCAATAGCGGCTTCTAGAAGTGATCCTTACTATCCTTTCTGCTTTATTTCTGATGCAAATAATCTATAATGCAGTGAACTCTTTTATTGCCTTCTAAATGAAACTATTAAGCTATATGTTGTATAAGTGATGTTGCATATTGCATTACATAACTTCTTAGACTGTAACAGACAGAAGTTTGATACAGTCAGTATGTTTTTTAGAGGTAACGTAAATGTTTGACGTATATTCCTTCCAATTTATAGAGCCTGCATTTACGGAAGATCACCTGGTCAGTAGTGGCCAGGGCCTAATACCTTCAAAGGCCAAAAAAGCTCTCTAAAATATACTGACTGTATCTATAACAAAGCTTGTGCTATGATGATGTTTAGAGGCCAAACTGGTCCTCGATAATATACTGAATGTATCTTCAACAGCATTTAATTACCTTGTGGCTTCTGTTAAGGTCATGTGAATTAAAGGGTACTCAGACAAATAAAGGTGTGATTTTCTACACTGTGTCAGTCTTTCCTCATTGCCTGCTCCTTCAGGAGCGTGTCAGTAGAGACCGTGACTCATCTGCTGGAAGTTGCCCATGTGGACTACTCTTGCCATCATGTCTTGTGTTTAAGCGTTGTGTTCATCGTCGGTTTTAGGAGCTTCAGGCACTGGAGAGCGCATTCTGGCATCGTGCATCAACTGAGAGAGAGACAGGGAGCGAGGGAGGGAGGGAGCGAGAGACAGAAACAGGAAGGAAAGGCAGAAACATAGAGAGGGAGCAAGAGACAAATAGAGAGAAAGAAAGACAGAGAGAGATTTTTATATTTGCATTTTTAGATGTTATTATGCAGACACCTGATCATATATACACATATAGTTCGAGAGTTGGGGAAAGTGGTTCTATATAGAACCTTTTTGAAAAGCACCAAAAAGGGTTCTTCTATTGTAACAAGCCGGACATCGTAACAATAGAAGAACCCTGTTTGGTGTTATATAGAACCTTTTTCAAAAACGTTCTATATAAACCATATACAACACATTCTCCATCAATCTGAAGAATCCTTTCATCATGGAAAGGGTTCATTGAGTGTTCATGGCTCTATATAGAACCATTTTCTTAACTAAAGAACCCTTGGCAAAAAGCATTCTGTATAGCGCTAAAAAGGGTTCTACTATTGTAACAAGCCTGACATTGTAACTATAGCAGAACCCTTTTGGTGCTTTGGTGCTATATAAAACCATCCAAATCACATTATGCATCAATATCCATCATATATACATATATACAAGAGTATATATATATATATGTACATACACTTTTGCAAATACATATATATATATATATATATATATATGTGTGTACATACACTTTTGCATATACATATATATATATATATATATATATATACATACACTTTTGCATATACATGTATATATGATGCATATATATACAAAAGTATATATAACAGAATTATATATAACTAACAGAATTATGTTGGCTCAAAGCTCAAAGTAATTTCCAGTATATTTTATATGTTCCCATTTTTTAAAGGGCTCATATCATGGAAAACTGAATTTCCCTCGCTTTTTTAAATAAAAGAGTTTGATGTAGTACATAAACACTGTTCAAAACATAACATACACTACAGTTCATATATATGGAAACTAAACTGCAAGAACAGCCAGTGCAGAACTAGATGTGTCCGAATTCAGGGGCTGCATCCTCCAAAGGATGAGGTCTACGAGCACCTCAAACATCGTGCACCTGCACGTTACTGTAAGTTTTGCTTCAGACCATTTACATTTGTATCTGTAGCTATTTGACTATTTGACAGCCGCTGTTCGCTCCTCTGCTGACGCCACCATGTTCTCAAATCTTTGCCGGCACGCAATGAACCTCGGGATATGTTGGCTGTCCAACCATAGCGTCCTTCGTTGCCATGAAAAAAAAGGACACATTTCTTGGCCGCATATGAAGGAGCCTTCGAAATGGGACAGCCTAGTCGCGCCGCTGTGACGCAATTGGCCTTCAATACCATTACGTATACCTGCCTATTCCGTCTGCCACAGTTTAATGCCGCCTATTCGTGCTGTTATAAGAAGTGTTTCAGTCAAGACTCATTTATGAATGAAGCACAATACGGGGCAGCCAATCAGAACAGAGGCCATTTACATATATCACTTATATATTACTTGAAAACAGCCTTTTTGGTTCTAAGACACATATGAGACATCCGAAGAGTTTAATGCCTCTAAAAGCTCCCTCACAGAAAATTATATGAATTGGTTATGAATCCATTTCCTGATGTCTGGGGCATTGTTTTATGATAGTTTTGCCATAAGGTTTGGGTTCTGAGAGGTGTTGTAAAAAAAACAGTACACAAAGAAAACAAACATTTTAGGATTAACCACTATCCTCATTAATAAAGTCTATAAAAACATATAAAACAATTCAGAAACTCACCGGTCATTAGTTAATAAAATGCATCCTACCTTTTTCTTGTGTTTTATTTTGTCTCCCTCATGTCCACTTGCGAAATTTGCGTGCTGTCATAATTTATTTATACATGATCATTTTCTAACCTCTCTTTATTCCTTAGAATTATACAGGCTTACTTACTGTGCCTTTAACACAAGCTTATATGTAACTGAGCACCTGATTGGTTGCCCTGTATTGTGCCTCATTCAAAAAGCAGTCTGAAACACTGAAACACTACTTATAACTTCAGCGTGAATGGGCTGAATGGCATGTGAATGGGTCGGTTTTATGACGTCACAAAAATAATGAATTCAAAACAGGCTGTTAGTTTGCACTGTATGTACTGCGGAGTGAGCTGTACGTTTTGAAACGTTATTAATAATAATAAGAATAACAGTAATTAACAGTAATTTAAATACTACAGCAAACTCTTATTTCCAAAAAGTGGTGAACAGTTTTCCATGATATGGACCCTTTAACTGAGGTGTGTATGACCCCGTTCTCTACTGGTAGAGCCTTGCTAGCTTAAAAGCAGAGTCACAAAGCTGAACACAAGCCTACGGCCCACGCTCCTACTCACATAGTTTCACAAGAATTCATGAACTTTTGGCTGTAGTAACACCCAGCATGCCTTGCTCAACCGCGGCCACAAACACAAATGTGTCATCTCCGTTCTGACATTAGTCTGTTTAATATTAACTGTGTGGTTGCTAATAATATGATACTAACACGGGCAAGTAAACCATTCAACTCGCACCATCATGCATGTCTGAATCATTACACACCTGCCTCAAACCATGACGTTGTTAAGTCATTTCCAATAGACATGCTTGTGTGGTTTCTGACTCTATGACATAAAGTTATCTGTAGAAATAGACAAAGAGGCTTAGCTAAAAATAGTAGTGGTGTTCCTCAAGGCTCTCTTTGAGGGCCCTTACTGTTCTCCTTTTATTTAACCTCCGTACACGCGATGATGATGTTGCAAAGAACCCTTGATCTTTTCATGATTCAAGGGTTCTTTGCATTATGAAAGTGTTCTTCAGATTGATGGAGAACTGGTGCTCTAGATGGTTCTATATAGAAAATTTTTAAAAGGGGTTCTAAATAGCACAAAAAAGATGGTTCTTCTATTGTTACAATGTCAGGCTTGTTACAATAGAAGAACCCTTTTGGGTTTAAAAAAGGTTCTATGTAGAACCATATACAGCACATTCTCTATCAATCTAAAGAACGCTTTCATGATGCAAAGAACACTTGAATCATGAAACGTTAAGAAAGAACTTACCATAGATTAGAAGGCCTGTGCAAAAGGAATTGTTAAACAAAGGTTAAAGAATCATGTGGCAAATGAAAGAGAACAAAAACATAGTCTAGCACTTACTTTCTTATTATCATTTATTATGATGATTTTTGATAATATTAATTAATGGCCCAAGGCTACCTGAAAGTACATGTATAGGTCTCACTCAACTCTCCTGAAACTGACTACGAGCTGGCTTTATTGTGTGTGTTTGCTGCCATCTAGAGCCAAAGCATTAGAGCAAAAGTTAGAACAGTTCGCTCACAGATTTCTGAAATCAAGCAGTCGGTCACCATTGTTGTCAAACAGTTGAGACAGGAGCCAGAGGTTCAGCAGGTCTTTGGATGTCCACTCAGGGTATGTCTCCTGCAGTTTTTCGGCTGAGGCGTCGCAGTCCTTAGTATAGGCTGGAAGAACGTAACTTTCTTAGATTTGTAAACTTATTGGCAGCAACCATATAATGAAGGTCTATGCAGGCAACACTGTTAAATGTAGAAAAACATAAGGCTCTTTATATTTCAAATGATGTGATGAAATATTGTGATGAAAGCAAATGTTGTAAGAATCGTCCACAATACTATTAGTAAGGATGTAGTTTTGTAACTTTTTTAATGCTGATGTAAGACCTTGGCAATCCAACCATAGATTCAGAATTCTACTGATAAAGGACTTTAGCTGTAAGTATTTCAAATATGGATTTAAATGGTTTTATCTTATGTAAGCCTGTTTATTTTTAGAGGCACCAGTTTTTTTTTCCAATAACCATCCTGCTCCTACACATGGAACATTCTGACCAGGTAGAGGGAAGCTCCATGTCAAAAACAGCTATTTGTAATCTGAAAATATTAATCTAGTATCTCAAAATAAATACTTTCTGTCTCAAGATTTTGATTTAGAATCTCAAAAGAATTATTTTATCAAAGATTTTACTTATTATCTCAAAATAATGACTTTTCACAAACATGACTTGCTGATGTGAAATAATGACTTATTTGAACAAAAAATGTATTTACAATTTCATAAGTAATTATCAAAATATAGGCAATTTTTCTCCTCTTTCTGGCTGGAATGGGCTTCCATACCTACGTCTAGAGGTGACTAGAGCAGCCTTATTTAATACTCTAGTCAAAATATTGTTATTTCAATAAAGTGAGTAGAAGTAAGCTCCAAAATTCAATTTACAGTGGAAGTCCACCTATTTTTCTAAATTTTGTGTAATTCAATCACTGAGATGTGAACAAAGCCATTAAACGTGGTTTAATTGTACAGAATCAAATTTTCTTTACAGTGGCAGTGATAGGAACCAGGAGTCATGATGTTCACAGTAAGGTGCTTTGGGGACTAATTTGCCTAACACTGCCCTCTCCACCATTAACCAAAGTACACGTTTTAGGGCAAAACCTTCCCCCAAAACTATCATAAGGCAGTTGTCTCAAGCATCAAGCCATGTATTTGTAACTATTTCAAGTAATACTTCTCTGTGAGGTGGTTTTTAGAGGCATTAAACTCTTCAGACATCTGGTTCCTATCACCACCACTGTGTACAACTCTAACTCAGTTTCTCCAGAACTAAGTATTTCACATCAAACTACTCTGAATGATGTTGTTTACATCTTAACCATTTAATTATGAAGACATTTTGAACAATTGAGTTCTTCTTTAAGAAAACAGTATAGAAGAGATAAAAATCTGCAGTAATGAGCTGCAGTGGAACTTTACCAGCATGGGAACTTAA